AGGTCATCCCTGATGGTTCTCTCTGTTGCTATTGGCTGCTTGTCTGTTACTTGTTTGTTAGTTGATTCTTTCAGTTTCCTTCTTACACGAGGGAATATTTGACAGAGTTTATAGCCTCCCAAAAATCAAGCATCATAAACTACAATGGTGCATATGTTCTATTGGTCCATAAATTTTGGAGTACATGAGATTTTTTCAAAGTTATAATATGTCATGTCATATGAACTTCTAAATAAGACCACAGGAGCTTGTAACCTATTTGTGTTGAACATGGCGAAAGTTGAACTACAAGTCTATGGAATTCGAGAAGTAACTATTAAGATCTATTCATTTTTGCTGCATTTATTGGTTCAACTTATTGAACCGATCAATGAAACTAATCGAATAAGCCACTCGCCAAAATCAATCCTAAGGTGAATGTAATGTTAAAAATTGTGAAAATAGCTATTTTCATGGATATACTAAGCCATAAACTATTAAGTGAAAGTCGATAAACATGCAAAGTTAATTGAGACAGTGCGAAATAATTATGTGATAAACTATGTAACAAAAGTACGAAGATAAGTGAGCAAGGATGTTCTCATTATGCCATATATTTTGCGACAGATATGCGAAGTTAATTGAGGAAGTGCGTAAATATTATACGACACATATGCGACGAATATGTAGAGATATGTGTTAACAGTTCGGTCAATCGCGGGTCTGTTGTAGATTATCTTTGTTTTTAAACAATTATTCTTGTATGCAAATGAATCTGTGACATTTATGCGAATCCCTGCCATCTCCAGGACTAGTCGAATGACGGTCTCTTCTAGTGCTTTGAACATGTTTTTATATTTTTCCAGTTTCTCCTCAATTTTCAATTGTATGTGTAAGTTCGAGGCTGTAACGACCGTTTTTTCATGAGAGAAGCATGGATTGTAGCTGCTGCCTGCCGAAATTATCTGTTGACAATCCCCACTATTCTCATATTAGACAAATCTGTAGAGATCTGTGTGAATAATTTGGTCAATCGCAGGTCTGTCGCAGATTAATTTTGTTTATAAACAATTATTCTTGTATTTGAATGAATCTGCAACATTTAAGCTAATCAAGATCTTGTTCGCCTCTTGTTTTTCCTGGACTATTCGAATGACGGTCTCTTCCAGCTTTTTGAATATGTTTTTACATTTTTCCAGTTTCTTCTCAATTTTCAACTTTTTTGTGTAAGCCCGAGAGTGTGTTTCGAGTTAAACGATCACTTATTATGAGCGAAGCATGGGTTGTAGTTGTCGTCTGCCGAAATTATCTGTTGACAATGCCTACTGATGGGTCTACTCTCGGATCTGGAGTGAACCGGTGGAAAATCGCCCAGATCTGGAATGAACCGATGGAAATGAGCTTGGATCTGACTCGCTAGCCTTCGAACTGTTGTTGAACCGCGAACAAACCTGCAAGAACTCAACGCCGGAGGGATTTCCGGCGTAGAGCTTCCGACGCTCAATTCAGTATGTGAGAGAGATCAAGAGAGCTGCTCTGAGGGAGCAGCAGTAATGGAGAAGAATATGGAATGAATGGGGGTTAGGGTTTTGGGGTTACCTTAGCTCCTTTATATAGGAGTAAAACATTTACCTGAAGTCCCCAGAATGCCCTGGCCGACTCACTGGAAATATCCAGAATACCCCGGTCGGTTCGCATTCCGCCCATCTCCTAGTCAGCATTTAGATTCCTTCTTATCCTTAGCAGCTTCCTTCTTATCCTTGACAACTTTCCTATGATATGTTGAAGTGTACTGGAGTCGCCGAGATCCGCGAGCCTCGAGACTTCCTCAGTCGACTGGGATACCAACTTGAGTCGACTGGGTCATCGTCAATCGTCGGTAGACCCTGACGCGCTTGACCGTCTTCCCGGAAGGGATCGACTTTCACTAGTCGACATGCGGAAGTCGACTGGACCCTTAACCACCGGAAACATCATACAAAATCTACAGAGAGTCGACTTTGCGTAAGTCGACTCAGTAATCTCTGAACCGCGATGGTATTAAGCCGTTATACGACAGTGTGGCTATATCACCTACTATTCTCATATTAGACGAAGGCCACACGTCAAAGAACCATAAAACATACGTGTTTACTGCTCTTGAGCGGGTCAAAACTCCTAGAATGGTTGTCCTCTCAGGAACTTTATACCAGAACCACGTGAAAGAGGTTTCGATATCTTGAATTTAGTGCTGCCAAAGTTTCTAAGAAAGAAAATCCTCAAAGCCATGTGCGTGGGGTTCCTGGGTCGGACCGAGAATTAATAACGATAAGAACTACAACTTGCATGAGCTGATTGTGTATACACTAATAAAAAATAAGAACCGTGAAATTAATACATGAACCTGCAATCGGGAAGTGGAGGTCGATGATCTTAACCACGAAATACGTTCACATTTTTTTTTTTTTCTGTTATAAATAATGATAGGGATGTGGATGAAAACCTTTTAAACTTCATTCATGTAACATTTATACTGATACGTATCGTTTCAAGTTGTCTCATAATCATTTATGTAGTATTTATTAATACGTAACGTTTCAAGCATGCAGAAACAACTGTTCGAATGACGGGTTTGCCATAAAAAGTGTGAGTCATTATGCTACTGTTTTACGATAGAATTTGATACATTGCAGGTAGATCACAATGTATTCGCAAACCCTTTTTGTGTAAAACATTTGTTATTATAATAAAAAATGTCGACCGATTACCCTTGGAAAATGCAATTCTTTATACGACTGGTTTTCTAATGGTAAAATCAAATTGGTAAATTCAAATACTGAGGTTAAATTGTGAAAGAGATACGACAATTGAATCGACGAATCATTTTGTTTATTGAAAAAATGCATTGATCTGTGATCCGCATACCCATTAATTTTTATTATTAAAATATGCGATTATTAGCCAAACTTTATACGGATAATTTATCGTAAATTAATTTTTTTAAAATTGTATTTTTTGTCTACGATTATTACTCGACAACTGGTCTGACGCATATTTGTTACGTAGTTATTATTTGTCACATAGTTATTACTTATTATTACTCGACAACTGGTCGGACCAGCCGTCGCGCCAGACTGCTTCTCGATGTATCAGAACTGTTGCGCTGCGACCATGCAAGCATTGCACTCGCTACAATATGCGGATCGCGGGCGAGCAACAGAGACAATGAACGACCACAAGTCATTTTTTTACTCTCCAAAGAGAAGTTCTTTCCAAACCCTCAATCAAAATTACACCCTTCACCTCCGGCAAACACCATGCAACGTCCTAAAACATTTCTCGAGCAACTTTATCCAACCGACCACCATCGTATTATTAGGTTCAATGAAGAACGATGTTGATCGTAATTTAAATCGAGTCAAGAATCTAAGAAAATAATCTCACAAGCAACGGATTCAACCTTCAGGGTTTTACATAATAAATTGTCTTGAGCTCATTTCAAGGACGTTTTAAAGTCGGCACACCAAAACACAATGGCTGCAAATAATATCAATAGAACAATATGCATTGAACAATATAAACCAATCACCAGTCTACTGATTCAGTAATTGGACCTCGCTTTTGGTAAATCAAAGTAATAAAGACTATTATTATCTTACATTTTAAGGGTATGAGCTATAACCAAGGTCTAGATTATTTATTTGGTCAGTATAAAATAATTTTATCTCCAAGGCTCGTTGAATACATCCGAGATGTACTAATATAATTCATTACCCAAGATAAACTAATTCAAAATTATAATACAACCTTCACAATAGGTTGTCAAATTTTTTATAAGTTGTGTACTATACTTTATATTTTACAAGGAATCGATAACTTTTGTTTGACACATCGAACCATATTATCTACAATGTAAGATAACAAAACAAACACTTTTGACTAAACATGATTATCATTTAAAAATAGACTGGTAAGAAACGTTTGTAACTAAAGTCAAGCTTTTAGTATACAAACTAACACATACTCCGCTCGAAAACCAAAATCTAGTTTCTTCTGAATACTTCAGTTTTCCAGCTACTACCACATCTTTGGGAGCATCTCTTTCTCCAAGGTATTACAAGCTCTTTGGGATTGCATAATGTGGGTTGATTTGTGGAACACCTTTTGTTGAAGTGAAAACAACAACCAAAAAGAGTTCTTAAATTCTCAAGAACAAATTCTTGCATGCAATTAAAGTGTTCAATAATTTGTCTCAAAAATGGTGTTCAAGCGTTTTCTTCTCCGTAACCACCGCGTGTTCGAATAAACCACTCAACAAACATGCCGAGAGCCACATATTTCTGGGATACTCGCCAAGTCAAGGGCAAGGTCGTTTAGAGGAACCCACCCTCTTCTCCGGATGCCTCATCTCATTCGGGATTTGGAGACTGAACCAAAAGACTTGGCCACGAAGCACGATGCTCTCTTCCCACTTGCCTACGCGAAATAAGGTGGACACCTACAAATGCCTCCTAACAAAAATGTGCCCCCATCCACGAACCCTCGATTGGGAACTTCTAGATAACCTAAAACTTTCCTATAAGACAAACAAAAAATATTGTATACAAAGAAATGTTGAATAATATGTAATAATTTTTAACTTCAGATTGATTAATATTTTTTATTTACGAAAATAATGATAATGTTGTGCAAATCTTCTATATATATATATATATATATAAAGAGACGACCTATTTACCAAAAATAGTAACAAAAAAAGTTAATCAACATTTATTGCATTATATTTTTTACAGTTTTTTTTAAATATTCATAAAAAATCAATCAACTATATATGCACCTTAAATTCATGGGTTTTGTGGATTTAATTTAGGTAACCTTCGACTGATGCTTACAATTTTGCAAAAGTCAAAATTCTTTCTCATTTTATTAAAAAATATAATTACCATAACATCGGGAATTTCGAATTAGGCAAAATACTATCACATATTTCTTTTACTAATTGCAACAGATTAATTGTTCATTAAAAAAATCGGATTGCATAGAAATCAGGTTAAATTATGTAAAGTTCGGCATGACAATATTGTAAAAGTGAAAATTCTCTTCATTATTTATTAAAAAATTATGTTTACCATAAAATCGAGAATTTCAAATTTTGGCAAAATACTATAACTTGTGTGTTTACCTAATTACAACAGATCATGTTTATTAAAAAAATCGGATTGCATAGAAATCAGGCCCTATTTCAAATTGGAAACTAAAATTTAATAATCATTTATCGTTTGGCTATTAGTTTCTTTAATTCGATTTTTTAAACATAAATATTAATTTACAATTCAAAATGAAATCGGATTGGAACATTCTAAAAATTTCGGTTTTGTTTAATCATCTATAATACAAATTTAAAATTGATTGTATACACTTACAAAATAAATAACGATTGCATACACTTTCAAAATATCATATATATCCGGCTAAATTGATAATTGATTTATTTAAGCCTATTTCGAATCCTAATATATTTGTGGTGATAGACGATATAGCAAAAGACCAAACAAATAATGTTGTGTACAATGATGTGTTTAATAATATATAAGTTACATTTTATTTATTCCAATACATGCGGTTTACGATTTTTCCAATCATCCAAATTTAAATATTTAACATAAAATGCTTCACTCGTATTGCACTAGTTCCATATTAATAGTTATTTATTTATTAATGCCATATTCCTTTTCAAGTAAATGCGTACCATTTTCCCAGTCATTTCCATCTTTTTTCCTTATAAACCGGACCAAAACGTACCTTCAGGCCTCAACTGCACCTAATCTAAAGTGTATAATGTCGTTGACTCGTTGTATACACAACAACGGGTAAGATTATCAAGAAATGCTAAACACAAAACTTAAGGAGATGGAGAGAGAAAAGTGAATGCAAGCTTGTTATTTAGGGAAATGGTACATTCTCCTTATCAAATCATTCGTTGGAATTCGTAACCATTAGATCATAATGTAATAGTCGTAGATAATTGATCTAATAAATACAAATCCTGACGGAATGATTTCGTAATAAGACCATAGAATTTCTCTATTATTTATTTTATGATCTAACAATTATAAATTCCGACGAAATGATTTCGTAACTAGACCGTAGAAACTCCTATTATTTATTTCTAAATAGAGAAAGAGCCAAATTGATGAATAAAGTAACTGTTTGATTCACTAAGTTAAATTATTATCATATATTATCAAAAGAAAAATCCCCAAATTTCTCCCCACACTCTATACACACACATCATTATATCTATACATCTAGAGAGAGAAAGGAAGACAAAATCTGAGTTCTTTCTTTCTACCTTTTGATTGCACCAATCGTCGTTTGTGTGTGTATATATATATATGCAGACACTGAAATATGGTTGAATCTGAATCCAATCCTCCGCGATCTTCTTCGTCTCCTTAGCTCGAGATCGCTTTTATGTCAAATGAAGTGAAAAGGAGGAAGGAAGAGGCTGAGGATTAGTTGATCTTCCGGTGAATTTCTGATCGCCGATAATCTGTTCTGATTTATTGTTGATTGTTGGGAAGAATGGACAGTGGTGATGGTGGAGAGGTGGCATCAGCTGCGGCAGGGCCGCCCAGCCCGCTGGAATGGAAATTCTCTCAGGTGTTCGGAGAGCGTGCGGCCGGCGAGGAAGTGCAGGAAGGTGAAAAAAGATTGATGCTTTGATGAATGAGAAATGGATTTGCATTTGGATCTTGTGGTTAGGGTTTTTGTTTGTCTGAGTTTGATCCATTCTTTGGATTGTCTAAGTTACTTGATTTAGTCGAGGTTACTTGGGATTGGCTGGTGTTTTGACTAAGTGATTTGCATGTCAGTTTCTGTGATATATGATTTGGGGGATAATATTCTAATTTGTTGTTGGTACAAAGTATGTAGAGTTCAATTTATTAGTGTGCTGTCTGGATTATCCTATTTCATGCACTTGATTTTTGTGGAAAGAATGTGTTTTGCCGTGGGTTTTGGATCTTGTCATTGTGGTTTATGCACTGGCTAACTTATTTGCTTTCATCTTGGTATTGATGAAAATCTAATCCATAGATCTCGGAATGTAAGCATAAATTTTATGGTGTTATCAAGTGAGAGGAGGCTTGCTTCCTGCATGCGACATTTATGATATAATTGCTAGTATACTTATTGCCGTGTATGCTGCCAATTTTTGCAAACTTGTTGGGCTTGATTTTCGCAAGTCAACTAATTGTAGTTGTCTTTTGCGGTAAGTTCAATGGTAGTCGTATGCTAATTTCCTTTTAAGCTCTTGAGGTTTTAGATTGTTATACGTGTCAGAAGGCAGTCTCTGGCTTCCAAATCTGCCATATTTATTGGGTTAAATTGTTCTAGTACATAACAAGGATTTCACCAAAATGTGGCAATGCTGAACTTTTGGCATACATCTGCAGTGTCTAAAAAATGCTTGTTTGATAAGTTGGAAGTACAGATGAACAAAATGTCAAGTATTAAGTTGTTCCCAAGTGAAAGGAAAGGTTCTTCATTTTTTTGTTAATTATTGCCTTTATGTGTGGTTGTCATGTAACTAAATTTGTATTGGCCATATCTCCCCTAGTGAAATTCTGCATTGACTCTGCTGTCTTGTTGACAACTTGCAATGCAAACATTAGCTGGTATGAATTAAGTTATTGTTATTTGAAGGAAAGGTGGATTAGGAAATGGCTATGGTATGGAATGACAAAATCATAGTTTCCAGTTCTAGTTATTCTAACCAGGGTGGATGAGTTTGCACGAGTGAAGACCCTGGTTATGTTGTATCTTGAATTTTCTGTCCCGGCATCCTGATTCTTGATAGATATGAAAATTAAATTGCACTATTTTTGGATGAATTATATACAGTTAGGTAGCAATGATCATATCTTGGGTCTGATCCATGATTTTTTTTTTTTTTTCCTTGATTTCATGGGCTTGTTAGCTTGTTTCTGTTTCATGGTTGTGGTCTTAAATTTATCTTTCGGTTTCTAATTTTAGGTCTTCTTTCTTTACAGTGGATATCATCTCTGCCATTGAGTTTGATAAAACCGGCGACCATCTTGCTACTGGTGATCGTGGTGGGAGGGTGGTATTATTTGAAAGGACAGATACAAAAGAGGTAAATGTTCCACAATGACAAAGGATTCTGAAATGTCAGTGACTCACCTTCCTACTTTAATTTTTGTATGCCAATGTTATCTGCAGCATGGTGGTAATAGAAGAGATTTAGAAAGAATGGACTACCCCGTTACTAGACACCCAGAGTTCCGTTACAAAACTGAATTTCAGAGCCATGAACCCGAGGTACTTACAGATATTAGTTTGAAAAATATTTTTTTCTTCCAAATATATAAGACTTCAATGATGTTTCTGTATTCAGTCGAGTGAGCATAATGGCAACTCATATTTGTATATTTTTAATTCCACCATTTCTCAAGAAAATTAGTAACGAGATAGTTCGAATAAATGGATTCGTGCACATTTCTTTGTTCTTCAGTTTGATTATCTCAAGAGTTTGGAGATTGAGGAGAAGATAAACAAGATTAGGTGGTGTCAGACGGCTAATGGGGCCCTCTTTCTTCTTTCGACTAACGACAAGACCATTAAGTTTTGGAAGGTGAGGTATATTGGTTAAACAGAAATGTAGATTGTACTTATCTCTGTAGTTCTTGGTTCTGATAATACCATTTAGACAAATGCCCTTGCAGATCAAATATTGTTTTTTCTGTTCACAAGATCTGCTCATCATTCATCTTACTATGTGTGATCTTGATTTTACTACTTTGTCCATTTTCGTTTCCCTTTAATATCTTTATCTCATTTTAAAAGCATTAGTGGCTTATAAGGACTAGCTTTACAAGCTAGCATCTTTTCTTATTGCTTGTGGTGATATGCACTCTGTCATGTTTCCTTCACCTTTTTTATTCTACAGAGAATGGTTTAAGTTCTGATTAAGAAACACAATCTCTTAAATTTTATTTCATATGGGAGACTTCCATCTTTCTCTATTACAAATTGGGGGAAAAATAGAATTTGTTTCAGTAGCACTTAAATCCAGTGGGAGATATGAGAAGTTGGCAATAATAGTCTTGTAGTAAACGGATCAAGTTCCCATTTTCTTTTGTTCTTTCTTACCATTCCTCCCTTATGGTATCATTCAATCTCAGTTGGGTTTATGATATGTTGAGGCTCAAGGCATTGTTTTTAAAATTAATCAATAGATATTTGTATGATTATTAATTTTTATTTGTTTAAACAGGTCCAAGAGAAGAAAGTTAAAAAAATTTCTGATATTAATGTAGACCCATCAAAAGCTGGTGGAAGTGCTGGTATTGCAAGTTCCAGCATTTCTTCTACTTCAAAGCCGCTGCTTACTAATGGTGACTGTTCTGTTCAATCTTACGATTCTTTGAGCAATGACTTGTCATTTCCACCTGGCGGGATCCCCTCTCTGCGATTACCAGTGGTAGTTGTACTTAACTCATTCACTTTTACTTGCAGAATTAAAGATTTTATTACAATTTGACATCCTTGATAAAAAATATATGCTATGTGTTCAGTTAGAAATGATGGTGTTGATGCCCCTTGAATATTTTGTTCTTTGTGGGGTCTATTTATTTGTGTATGTTCATGTCATTATGACTGTCACGAAGTATTGATCCATTGTCAGTGAGGAACAATCTTTGGCATACACTATAAAGCTTTTCCTGTGGACAATTTCTAATATTATTATTCAACATGTACGTTTTTTTACACGAGATTATGCTATTATAGGTCACAAGCAGTGAGACCAACCTTGTTGCAAGATGTAGGAGAGTGTATGCTCATGCGCATGACTATCATATCAATTCTATTTCAAATAACAGGTGGGAATTCAAAAGTTTGTTCACTATTTGTGTGCACTGCCGTTTCTCAATGCTAATGATTATGTTAATTCTTTTTTACTTTCTTATGATGCAATAAACTTAAAACTACAATTAATCTCTTTTTGTAATGTTACCCAGTGATGGCGAAACATTTATATCGGCTGATGACCTCCGAATAAACCTCTGGAACCTGGAAATAAGCAATCAAAGTTTCAATATCGTTGATGTGAAGCCAGCAAATATGGAGGATCTGACTGGTAAGCCACGTTTTTTCTGTTTCTTTTTTATTTCCCGATTTGTCTTGTTCTCTTTTCCCTAGGCCAGGTTTATGCTGATCTGAAGTTTCATCCTCGTCCTATAAACAATGAAACAATTGTACCTTTTCTTACGACCTTTAGTTTTATAAAAAATATACATTAAGCAAATAACATGTCATATAATATTAGGAAAAAGTATTAAATAGGTGATACGGGAAATAACTAAAACAATGGGCCATGCTACAGTACATAATGGTTTGGACATAAAGTTTGACATAATAATTTTGTGGTTTTACATGTGACATCAATGATTTAATATTCATTTGAAAATTTTAATTTAAATTCTTTTGTTTCTTAAATGAAAATCCAACTATTTTTTTTTTAATATTCTTAAACTATTTAGTAAAATTATTGAAATCTATACTCCGTAATTGTGCATAAAATATAAAATTGAATGAGAAAACAAAAACTATACTTCTACAAGAAGTTGAATTGTAACATGCATATATTTATAATTCATGACTATAGTGATGATCATGTGAAAATAATGTATATGAAAATCATGTCACTTTATTTGGGAATGTAACATAATTACATTTGGAAGATTCGGTTAGTAAATATCAATTGAACTATGATTTTTGTATGTCTTGAATAAAAATAAATTAAAAAAGGGTCTACCTAATGTGATAATTAACCAAATTTAAAACTTAAGCTTACATGAAATAAAATTGACTAACTTCTAATTGCTTTATAGAAATGATAACCACAAATGATACTGAAAGCAATAAACTATCATTATTCAAAGAGAATTCAAATAGAATGACAAAAAATAAAGAGCGAGAAAAAAATAATAACATTATCATTAACTATTTAAAATGATATGAAGACGATATTGGGACTATAAAATTAAATTATATGTTCAAACATTTAGCATAGTAAAAATAAGAAGATTAAAAATATATTCAGGTGTACAAACTATATCCAATAATTTAGGATGACAACTAATTGTTATGATTGCAGAAAATATTTACTAACATATTTTGTAGTTTGGCCTATATTAAAAAAAAAAAAAATCATAGACAAGATTAACCTCGTTCAAGTACTCCTTTTTATAGTAACTTTTAAAATATTATGATTATTTGAAAATACAACGTTGAACACATTTATTACAATTCATTATGTAAAATACTTTCTTTATTAATTAGTAATAATAATAAAAAAAAAACTATATAAATATGAAAAACCTTAATTTTAAAGCCAAAAATCACAAATCATGCATCATGCATCATGCATCATGTGCATCACACGTGCACTTTACTAGTCCAAACTGGATAGTCGGCCTGTGGTATGTCCTGGCCTACAGGAGCGGGCTTTTCTTGTATGCCGTTCGCCCCGGAAGGCTGTCGGTGTCCACATCATCCTCCACCACCCCAGGAGGCAGCTCCTAGTAGTGTATGGCACATTTGCTAATGCCAGCGCGACCTGTGCGACTGCCAGGGACACCCCAGGGCACATTCTCCTCCCTGCTCCAAATGGTATGAACCCAAAATCCCGCCCCTTAAAATTGATGTCACTATCATCCAAGAACTTTTGGGCATGAACTCCGTGGGGCTTTCCCAGTAATCGGGATCCCGGCCAATTACCCCCAGGTTGACTACTACGATGACCTTCTCTGGTATGTCGTAACCAGCCACGGTGCATGGCCCGATGGTCTGTCTGGGAACCGAGAGTGGGGCCAGTGGGAAGAACCTCAGTGTTTGCTTCACGATGGCTTTGAAGTAGGGGTGCTCGTCCATGTCATCCTTGTCTACTCTGCCCTTGTTACCAATCGTGCTTCAAATCTCATGTTGCGCTTTCCTAAGAAAATAGGAGTTCTTCATCAAGTCCGCCATTGCCCAGGTTATGGTGGCGGCAGTCGCGTCGATCCCCCCAATGAAGAGAACAAATAAAATTCATAATATAATATATGGCCAAAGAACCTCCCTTTCCCGTGGCTCCTCTGGCTCTATAATTAGAATAATTAAATATTTAATTTGAAAGGGTAAAAATAGAATATACCATTAATAATATTCCAAACCTAAGGACTTTTTAATCCATTTATTTTTTTACAAAACACTCCTCCTTTTACAATAGTATTTATAATAGTATAGATAGATAGATAGATCGATTATATAAATTGGTTGAGTAGGCTGGGACCAAATGCTTTTTTTTTTTTCATTAATTCACAATAAATTCCTATACTTAACTGCTCTGATTGCTTGATATTTGTTTCTTGTTGCAGAGGTGATAACATCAGCTGAGTTCCATCCTACTCATTGCAACATGTTAGCATATAGTAGTTCAAAAGGATCAATCCGTCTCATTGATTTACGACAATCTGCATTGTGCGATTCACATTCTAAACTGTAAGTTTTTAGTTTTGGTAGTTAGTGTTTCAGGCTTCTGATTTCATGCACATATATATTGTGAGCTGTAGTATTGACATTTGGTAATATCTCGAGAATGGAGATTCAGATGTTCTTGTCATATTTGTTTTCTGGAACCCTGTTATTTAAATTTCAAGTTTCTTGCTTAGATATATTATTTTCATGGATGCGGTTTCAATTATTTCTTTCACGTACAGATTTGAGGAGCAGGAGGCGCCTGGCTCGAGATCATTTTTCACTGAGATAATTGCTTCGATTTCAGATGTTAAGTTCGCTAGGGATGGAAGATTTATATTGAGCCGTGATTACATGACCCTTAAGGTTCTATCTTTCGCGTTATTCTCACACTTGATATTTGTTGCTAATGCCTCAATTTCCGTGGGGAATGTTCATGGTTTATTTTGGTGAATGAATGTATGCATAATTCTGTAGTCATGTAGTATGAGTTTTAGATCTGTGGAAGTAGTTTATGTCGTTTTACATACACTTTGTTAAAAATGTCAAGTTGCGTGAAATCAGTAGTGCACTCTTGATCCATCAGCTGTCTATTTCTTGTTAAACGATTTGCTTACAGGCCTATGATAGTTTTCATACTTAGTGGCTCAATAATGTACAATCTTCTCAAGATGTTAGTTGATCTTCACTAATCCACTTCAGTTGTATTTTCAGTTATGGGATATTAATATGGACTCTGGTCCAGTGTCAACCTTCCAGGTTCATGAGTATCTGAGACCTAAGGTGAGCTGCTGCACTTCATGATCACCTTGACTATAATAATACTCTGATGATTTTGAGTTCATTGAATTTTTCTTTGATAATGCCCAGCTGTGTGATTTGTATGAAAATGATTCCATTTTTGACAAATTCGAATGTTGCCTGAGTGGTGATGGTCGTCGAGTGGCTACTGGTTCTTACAGGTGGGGTCAAGTTTGTTTGGTGGTGTTTGCCTTTTTGTCATCTTTTGTCAAACTAAGAAAGCACTTGTACAACAACTAATTGGAGTAATATAATAAATTTGTTACAGCAATCTATTTCGTATATTTGGATCGGGTAGTACTGAAGCAACTACTCTTGAAGCTAGCAAAAATCCAATGAGGTAACTTTACTTACCAGAATAACATTATCGACATGTTTAAGTTTGTATCCATATAACATATGTGTGCCTGAACCCATGCTGAAACATTTCTTAAATGCTCTCAGAAGGCAAGTTCAGACACCCTCTAGGCCTTCCAGATCCCTGACAAGTAGCATTTCTCGTGTTGTAAGGCGAGGTATGATTTTCTTTCCCTTATCCCTTTGGGACAAAATCACCAATAAATAAGGAAGGGACTCCTTATGATTATTTTCTTAACTCGAAATGCTCTACTGGTCCCTATGTTACAGGTGCAGAAAATCCGGCAGTCGAAACTAATGGAAATTCCTTAGATTTCACAACAAAGCTGCTCCACTTGGCATGGCACCCGTCAGAAAACTCGGTTGCCTGTGCTGCAGCAAACAGTTTGTACATGTACTATGCATGAAAAGGAAAAATCCAGGTAACCATTTTTGGTCTGCTACTCAAGACGATATGCTGCTTTAAGGAAAGAAAAAAAAAAAAGGCATTTTCCAACTTCTGATATACAAACTGCTTCGTATAGAGTTTCAGAAAATTTATGTAGACGATTTTCACGAGAGCCGAACGCAAAGTTGTATTCGGGCGGGCTGTAGTACCTTCCTTATTTATTAGTATTTTTGTCGTAAAGGGATGATGAATATGCAGTACTGTTCCTTTTGCCAGGGTAGAAATGTGATTGTAGTTGCTCTCTTCTACATTAAAGGAAACTAAGAATATGTCTGGTAAATCGCCTCCTAGATTTTTTTCTTGGGTACATTGTAGCTTATTAAGGTAAGTCTTTTTTTCTGGAAATGAGCCGGTGCTAACTTGCGGGCCATTAATTAAATTTTATTAACTTCTATTGGTAGCAGTATACATGGATCTGTTGTAGATTGATTGGGCATTTTGGCCATAGATTCTTGATTTCATCGTTCGACTGTAAAAGATTCCGGCTTCAATTAGCTGTGTATAATATCTAGATGTTTACGTGTTGGTGATATATCTTCAAATAGATGAGAAATTTCATACTCTGTCATTTTTTCGTGCATAATATGTTGTGTTTATTATTACTATTACCACCATCACTACTATGGCACCTACATATGTTGGTGTGTTTTCCATATGAAATTCTACGATGCTGAAACTTACAGGAGTTGCTGCTACAATTATGTTTGCCTAAGGTATCATAATTCATGGTTATGAAATTCTATGAATAAAAAAAATATTCAAGTCAAAATATGTAGGCCATCTCCGATCCTTATCTCTACTTTAGTGTAGAGTGTACGCTAGACTAGAGTGAAACAAAAAATTAAGTTTCATCTTCAACTGTTCGACTGTTCGCGCTGCATTTTACTTAACAAATTATTTTCTTTCTATTTTCATTATTTTAAATTATTTTAATATCACAAATGTAATTTAATTAGATATATTGCTTTACACATATTTGCTTATTTAAATTAAATAATTTTTTAATTCTCATTGTTGTAATGAGAATAAAACAATTTTACACACATTCCGTAGACTAAAAAGTTTATATTATCATGTGTTTCGTAGATTTTTAAGTTATTCGAATTTTAATCAAGTTGTGATTGTTTGTGGATTTTTTTTATTTTTGTGTGTTGTATTTATTTTAACTTGTTTTTATTGTGATAAATTTTTATTTATATGGTACTATGAAATAAAAAAATTTGCAAAGCAAAATTATAATACATTAATAACAAAAAGCACAAGTTAGTTAACATAATAAATAAAATTACTAATACACTTTGTACAAAAAAGTTTACTAGAAATTGAATTAAATTACAAAAAAAAAAAAAAA